TATATATATATAGTATTGTATAAATAGAAGTTATCGGAAGCGTCTGCACATTTTGAATAGAAGTGATTGGAAAGCGTTTGTGCACTCGGAATAGAAGTGATTGGAAGCACCATCGTTATAAGACAAATAATTATTATGAATATTTTTCACGAAATTCTGATTAACTCTCTGTTTCAATAAATTTAATTTCAATGTCATTTTCAATCGTTTTCTACATTATCACTTTGTTTTTTAGTGCTTTAATCACTGCTTTTATTGCAGAAACCTCATAAGGAAGTACTTTTGTATCTCGTTGGTTTTGTGATATTTCTTTTCGTGCGCTCCATTTTCCTGTAATAAAAGATTAAATAAATATTATGTTATAAATATTATGTTTTAAAAATCAAGATTGAGAACGTTATTTCATGAAAATAACGCGTTATAATATTTAGGCAAAAAAGTAACGAAAACGGTAATGAAATTAATTATAAGTAATGCATTACTTATAATTAACTTTACTTTCCAATTACTTTCCAATCTTTGTAAAAATAACAAACTTAAATTTAATATACTAACTCGATTTCTATACTTTCTGTTATATATTCGATTACTATACTCGATTATTATACTGTTCACTATGATTATTTCATTTGTAAAAGAAAGGTACAGAAGTAAAATAGCGCTGCATCAATTGTTAAGAAAATTTTGACCATATATTTAGAATTCATATTATATGTTATTTATATTGAAATATTTTATTTCCTTTTAGATAGAAAAAAACTAAAAAAAATCAAGAATAATCAAGAATAAGAAAAAAGAACAAACAAAATGTAATTTTAATTTTATAATTTTTCATCATGTACAATATCAACGATTATACAATATAGTGGGAAATTCAGAATGATTTTTCTCATCACTATTGTTCACATCTGCTAATGTATTATCCCAAAAAGGCAGCCTTTTAAACGAACTTCTTCTATGCCAGTAATAATACTATTTCTCAATGAGGAACAATTAAAAAAAATGTAATGCTAATGATGATATATCAATAATGATATCAACATCATAAAAATTCTTTACTTCAAGAAATTTTTTATAATCAATAATATATGAATTTTCAATCATAATATTGATAAGAATGCAGACGGACATATCATGTAGAATACAGCAATTATTATGCATGTTTAAGATAAGTAAAATTCCATTAAACCTAATCTTACGATATTGAAAACAATTAGAAAGAAGATTAGATGGAAGAGGACTTGCATTATGCTATATAGATATATGAGTAGAGATACATGAAAAGAATTCATACTGCGATTTTCAATTGTGGAATGGACTTCTATTTCTGCAAACATATATCAATTTGCTGAAGACAAAAATCGAGTAATACTTTCTAAAAACATTCATGTTATTTTCATATGAAAAAACAGAAAATGTATCAAGAGGACCTAACTGTTGCACATCATCAGTTAGATGAATTAGGCCGTGTATATTATAAGAATAAAAAGTCGGGCCGTAAAGATCTTGGCATCTTTCTACAAATTTTTGTAATGTAAGATCTGCAAAGCTTAGATGTGCTTTTGATGGAGATACAGAAATTAAAATCCTTATAGCAGCATGCAAAAACAAAAAGTATATAAGCTAATTGATCAAGAATGCCATGTGTTACTATTGGATCAGTATAGAGAAGAAATTGGCGATATTCTATGGCTTTATATTTTGTGCACATAGCAAATTTAGGACGCTTTGCAAAATCAGATTGGCAATATTTTGCGAGTGCTTCTAATCATGTTGATATAATAGAAATTGATTTTGCAGATAATTTTGATAAGCGTGAATATTTTCCATACACCCATGCGAAGAACAATTGTCATAACACCTAGCAATACGAGATGCATGTATGCAAAAGATACTTGAGAAACTATCTCTATCAGTAATGCTAAAGGACTTTTGTCATCTTTATGGTGAGTTTCATCCAAATATCTAACTATTCCTCATCAGTCCATAGAAAATGATTGACACCCAAAAAAATATTACGTCTTTCACATCGAACCAAAGATTTTACGTTTTGAGCAAGGCTGACCAAACATATGGCCTCTATGATTAATAATAAAAACACGCTAGTGTATCAGCTATAAAACATCTTAAACGATGGGTATTTTCTTTCCTAATATTTATACCTCCGTTTATCAATATTCTGTTAATTGTTTGTAACGACCTGTTCAAAAAATACATTTTGATCGTATGGTTTCGCAGGGCCTTTGTATATTCCTACTATTATGGGTTTATGTCTCATATTCGCAAGTTTACATTGAATTAGCCAAATTTGCATGCTTCCTTTCTTATTTATCTAAATTGCACCCATCAATATTGAAATCAATTTCTATTTGATTCGGGAGAGACGCAACTGGAAACTGCAAAAGTATTAGTAATTTGCATTTCTAATTCAAAATGTATGTATTCACTCGGATGTATTTTAGATATAACAACTTTATTTCGTGGAGTACCTAAAAGTGTTCTGATATCTTTAGGTAAGCTTTGAAACAAGGATACGAAAAAGAGAGAGAATATTATACACTAAACATGATTCAAATTACAATATTTTCAATAAAACAAGATGCTAATTTTTTTCGAGGAAGTATTGAGAAAAGAGGAATCAGCATCACTGTCGAAAGAAAACTAAGATTATTATCACTTTCAATATTTTCGAACTGCATACTGCTACAAATATTATTTGCTGTTTGCAGATTGGCTATTGATTGGCTATTTCCTGAATGTAACACATCTGTTATATGTTGAATACTGTTTATACCATCTGATTATCAAATAAAATTTAATGCATTGTCTTCAGATCGGACATTATTTCTAATTTCTAACGCAATTCTTTTGCGTTGTCTCATGCTTAATTTATGTATACATTTTCGTGAAATTGAATGTTTTAATATATAAAGTTTCATAATTATGCATACAAAATTTTTCATACAGCTAAGAATAATTTAAAGCAAATAATCGTAACCTTGGAAAAAAATTCTCATAATATTTTATATCAAACTTCGCCAAAGAAAAAAATGACTGGGAAAAAAATGTTCTATATATAATTATATAAAATTATATATAATTTCCTTCATCGAGTTATTCAACATTGAAATAAATAATTGGATCTTTTTTGTTTCAATGTTGAATAACTCGGAAAAAAAATCGTATAAAACTTCATGAAAAAGCAAATTAAAGAGAAAGGATTCACTCGTTCGAATTATGTAAACAGGTGATCCTTTAGTTATATCCCATAATGTTATTATATCCTATAAGTTTTTGTTGTATGTATAAAATATTTTTTCTGGTAAAAAATTTTTCATATCTAAATATATATAAATACGTATAAATATGTATAAATATTTATAAACATATATAATTATACATGAAATATGTTCATACTTTTTTCTTTTGTAAAATTATTTTTTAGTGTAATAAATAATTATTTTTTAGTGTAATAAAAATATTACACTAAACATATTACGTATTTCATATACAGGATGTCTGGAAATAATTGCCAAATATTTCATGGGTAGATAGAGCGGACTATCAAGTCCTCTATCATGATGTAAATTTCCTCAATAGTTAATAAGATATTAATCCTTAAATAGGCGAATATGCGCGCTCGCTCGGCCTACTGCGAAGTGTATGTCTACCGATCGCTTGGCGCGCGAGCCTTGGGGATTGGCTGGCAAGCACCCCGCGCCGCGCACACCGCCGCAAGCCTCCACAGTTCGGATGGCGCGTTTGCCAGGCTATCCCCGCTCCCCACGGCCCGTGCGCCAAGTGATCGGTAGGCGAATATACTTCGCAGTAATATTCAGTTATTTTTAAGGATTAATATCTTGTTAACTATTGGAGAAACTTATAAAATAATAGAGGACTTTTGGATTCAGTTTAGTCCGCTCTACCTGCTCATGAAATATTTAGCGATTATTTCCAGACACCCTGTATAATTATATAATTTATAAAAATTTATACATGTTTATACGTCCTTATATATATTCAAACATGAAAAATTTCTAACCGGAAGTATCTCTCAATATAAATTTTGCCGAATGAAGTCCACTTCTATTGTAATTTCTATTGTGCGTTATGCAATAATGTATGTTTCCTCTCTTTCTCTCTCTCTCTCTCTCTCTCCCCCCCTCTCTCTCTCTCTCTCCTTTCTCTCTACTAGTTTCTACTGCTATCCCTCGTTTCTGAAAAAGTAATTCAGACATTCACAGATATGTAAGAAAATATTTTTTCTCGTCAGCAACGATAGTCAACAATAAAGAATAAAGACCGACACAAAATGAGCATCACAAATTGCGATAATATATAATAAAGAAGGAGAAAACGGTACTTCATGCGTACTCGAAAATCTGTGACGCTCATCGTGTTTCGGTTTTCATCCTTTATCGTTGATTACATACTGTTGACGAGAAAAAATATTTTAATTCTAAGATTAAAAGATATATTATTATCATTCAATCTTGGATTTCGTTCAGCAAGATTTATATTGACAGGTAAGATTTTATATCATTAATAGCGAATTTGATTACATTTTTGTTGCATAGTAACAATAATTATTGCATAAATTATTTTCATTATTAAAATTCATTATTCATTATTCATTATTCATTATTCATTATTTTTATGTTCATTATTTCATTTTATATTTAAAAAATTTCCTAGAAACTTGAAAATTATATGAAATTTGTTGAAAATCAACGTGAAAATATCTTCTATATATTTATCAATCATACTTACATATTTATCAATTTCCGAACTAAACAAATAGACAGATAAAAAATGAATAAATAAATAAAAATATAAATAAATAAATAAGTACAGTAAACAAATAAATAGGTAAATGAATAAATAAATAAATAAATAAATAAATAAGGAGATATACGTATAAATTATCTCGTTTTAGATATAATATATATTTTACATATAATAACAAAAATATATTGTGTATATATTTAGATGCTTGCTGCAATCACAATTTTAACAAATCGACTCGAAGTTTCAAGAAGAAACTCTAGTTTCAAGCAATAGTTAGAGAAGCTTTGCGTTCAGCGAAACAAGTATTCGCACATTACGTAATCGAGAACGTCTGACCAGAGAAGCCAAAAATTATGGAATGAATAAAGGAACAAACAGAAGAAGAAGAAGAAGGCCCACTATAAATTGATAATTTAACGGATTAATAATTTAACGGACTTCCATTTAATGGATTGTATGCAATACATTTTTAATAAAATGTTAATAAATCAATGTTAATCAATGTTTAATTTTAATAAAATTTTAATAAAATGTTATAAATACTTAAAAATAAATCAGAATAAATATGCGCTTTTTTTAGGCATTGTGGAATTATTCTGATCACTCCTTGTACTTTTAAACTAATTTATTCTATCCTCATAAAAAAATAAGACTTTAAAATTTTCTGATTTTATGTGTTATGAATTACACTATTATAATACATAAGGTCAGAAAATTTTAAGATCCTATCTTTTTTATGAAGAATAGAATATTAATTTAAAATAGAAGCGATTAGACTAATTGCTCAATGCTTCAAAAAGCGTAGTGTTTATTCTGATTTATTCTTGCGCATTTATGTCATCGCATCATAACATTTATAATCTCAACAAAAAAAAAATTGCTACAAGCTTCTGTGCTGCATGGAAATTGTTCTATATTTAAGAACATATTATGACTTTATCGATGCTTTTTGTTCGTTGTTTTTGAGTCAGGATATTAAAGTATTGACAAAATTAAGTTAGCTTTTTCCTGTTTTCACCGTAAAAAAATCTCACCAACTCATTGCGAGGTGAATCCGGATGATTCTAAGTAATCCTGACCTGTAACCTGAGCATTCTGTTTGTGTCAGTCTGACGTAAATTAGCAACGGTGTATAATAATTCGAAATGACCGATTTCCGCGAAATAAATGCATAGTCGCACTACGCTGCCGCAGAATCGTCGGCAACTTAGCACTCATCGCTATTCATGCACGAGTCGCATTTCTATTTACAGTTAGCCGAAAAAATATTTTTACACGAACATCTTTTTAGCAAAAAAAGAATAATCATATAATTAATTACGCGCGTTATTAACGCGCGGCACTTCGATTCTTACGAAGACGTCCGAAAATAGCTTGATGAGTGGTTTGCCTCGAAAGATGAGGAATTTTTTTGGCGTGGTATACACAAATTGCTCGAAAGATGGGAAAAATGTATAGTTAGCGAGGGCAAGTACTTTGAATAAATTTGTGTTTGCTTCCTAGGAAAAAA